AAGAATATTTCTAACAATATTATATTTTATTTAATATTTTCAAATTCAACTGTTTGATTAAAAACTTTACCCATATATATATATATATATTTTTTTTACTCACAACATGAGAATTATTAATGATATTTTAATAATTTCACAATTCAAACTATACTTTTTTTTATAAAATCCGAACTAAAAAGAGATTTTTGTGCAATTTATTGTCGATCCATTTTTTTTTTTTAAAAGGCTTTCAAAATGAAATTGAGATGGCGAAAAATAACAAATGCGAGATCGAGTACTATTTTTAACCCTTTTTTTTTTTCTAGGCCTCCTTTAAAAAGGCTAATTATAGAACCCGGCCCAATGGAAATTACCAGTTCCAATGATGGATTTTGAATTGCATACAAAAGAGAGAACGTAAAGAAGGAAAGTACAATTTCTATGTACCGCTAATGCTACAAACACAACGAACACCCGATATTTAAATCTCGAGTATATATACACAATTGGACTCACCGATACATGGCTAAGCAAAGCACCGACTGTACAGTATGATCGGGTGTCACTGGGCTCCATGAAGGATGAAGAAGACAATCACAGCCAAGCTCCCCATCCGGGAAACATTTGACATAATCGCTCCGGATCAATAGCATCTTGTATCAGTTGCTGAACCTACAATATAGAAACCAAAGAAATGTAGACTTAACACGGTATTAGACGTTTAAAATTCAGACTAGGGTTTCCTACAAAAAAATTTTCAAGATCATGTTCGGACTTAATAACCATTTATCTGAAGTGCATGATTGACGACAATGAAGTGGGATATATACAACCCCAATCTAAACATGCAACACAACTACCTTAGTACTGAAATACACCGTCGTTTACATTATTCCAAAAGGTTTAGACCAGTAAAGCAACATGAACCAAGAACTCCATTAACTGATGTCCAGAGTAAGGAAGATGGTGAAAGAAATTGCCGTACATTACATCTAATACAAATAAGTGGTAAGGAAATTGCTTTCCACATGCATGGGATTCCTTGTAAAGTTAGCTGAGCACTATTTAACTACTGAAGCAGTAATTATGGAAAGTGTCATCTGATTCCAGGCTCTAAGATAAACTGTTCAGAAAGTTGGAGTTCATGTTTATGAGGAACGAATCCAAGTCCTTCTGAGGCCAAGATTTATTAATCAACAACTGATCAAAGAGAAGTGAATTTTGTGCATGATAATGGGGTCCAATGTTGTTTGGTTGACCAAAGCCAAGCCTCTACTTTCTAGAGATAGTGAGTCAGTGACAGTGTGGAAGTACCTGGCCATGTACACTTCTCAGTTCACCTTCTTCATATCCATCTAGTTTTTGTTTGACACGCAACAGTGCACGTTCAGCATCCTTGTTCCCTTCATCTTGTGGGCTTTCCAAGCTACTCTCCAGATCATCTTCTGTATCCTGTCCATGGAGGAATTTTTTTTTTTTAAGAAAAAGAAAAAGGGACAAAGGTGTATGATGAGAAGATATATGACATCCAAAAAAATATAAAGCCTCAGCAGCCCAGACCTGCTGAGGTTGAATGAAAAGTGATTTGAGATTTTTTCTTTGTAAGAAGCTTGATTGTAGATGGATGCATTCTTGTCCACATCAAATATAAGTGACTAATACCATTCATTAGGACAACACCAATAGAAGAGCATGATATAGAGGACAAATAACGCCTTAGAGAAATATAATTGAAGGTGTATGGCCTTACATCTTCCTATGGGTGATTTCTTATGCAATCCCTATAAATTCAATTTCTATAGCTGTTGCAGGAATGAGGAAAGAGGAAGTACAGAACTAATGTTTGGATCTTCTCCTATGGAATAATCATTAAAAAGTGGTCAGAAAGAAGAACATTTGGGATAGTTAACGTAACATGTCATTCCCTATTCAATGAAGTGGTGAAGAGTGAAGCAGCACAACAGTACAAATAAAAATTCCTTTGAAGTAAAAGTCCTTTACATGATTTTATGGGGGTACGATCTGTACTTTGTTGGAGTCTTACTAGCATTATTTTGTAGGGTTTAATTTGACATCAAAAGGCTAATCGTCTATGAATGCCTTATTTCTACAATAGGTTTGTAAGTTGAGAAATCAAATCACCTTTACCTTTCTCTCAGCCAAGTACATTCAATGCTCTGTTTCTTAAGCATGGTAAGAGGGTTTTAAGAAATACCTTCTGACGTTGCAAAGCCTTCAAAGGGGATAATGCCCATTTATAAAGAGGGTCATGTATAAAGACCTGCAAGAATTCAAATATTTAGTGAAAAAATCTACACAGCAAGCAATGTAACCGCTTAGGATATTAAGACAAGTAATCATACTTCAACAATGGTCAGCAGAGCTTCTTTATTTGTCCGCATTACAGAAAGGGTTTCCTCACAACATCGTCTGAAAACACCTTCCACCCCAGTGACACCCATGCCATCTATGATGTCTCTGGTCAGCCTGAATGGGACCTGTCAAAGTTGATTGAAGCAATGCATGAATGGTCAGAAATCATAGTAAATGATGACTTACAAGTGCAAGGAGGAAAAATAAAAAAGAAACTAAAATTTGAAAAAATCAAACCCGCTCTGGAGTCTTCAGCATCAAGCCTTGTTCAAAAGCAACACCTAGATCAATGTGAACAACTTCTGCAGTTGCTTGATCAATTAAGATATTTGTAGCATGCCGATCTCCAAGTCCAACAATATAACCCACCTGAGCATTACAGAAGATGTAAATACTATCAATTTTGGTTAGGGAATCATGTTTAATCATAGCAAGAGTAGTGTACCATTGAACTAGCTGCTACACTTCGTGTGTAAGCTAGTCTCTTCTCAAACCAGTCAGCCGGTTGCAAAAATCTTTCCAGAAAAAAGTGATGCATGACAGGCCTGCATAAGGTCTAAAATATGTTAGTAGTTAAAAAAATCAACTCTCAAAATTTATATAGTGAAAGGATTAAACCTGAAATTCTTACAAACTTCCTGGAATGCTCTGCGCTTGTCTTTTTCCTACCAACAAGTGAAGTAATACATAAATCTTTCTGTAAATCAATCTTTCTTTCAATAATTAGAAGATGCACATACAGAATAATTCAACAATTTCAAACTACATTGGTATCATCATTCTTTATCTGAACTGTGAAACTTCAATATTTAAGGTTTGGGATTTTGTGCTTTCTAACGTGCTTCCCTATAGCTTTACCTCATTAATGAAAATTTATACAATGGTTTTGAAACATATGCCAAACATTTTGTGATGCCCTATGTGGAATGGTGCTTCAGACTTTCCAGATCACTTCATTAGAATATATGGGATATAGTCAGTGGTCAAAGAAAAGGTGTATTATGAATAAAAAGATTGTTACAACTTACAAGTACTGGGAATAAAAGAAAGAGGTTAAACAATTGTTGGTAGAACATACACCTAGCTCCCACTTTAAATTGTGAAAAGAAGATGATTTATGTTAAGTTTTCAAGAATAATCAGGAAACATACAGCTGTAAAGCTAATGCAACTACTACATGCAATATGTACTTAACACTGTCATGCAATTAGACTGAAGTTTCAATCTTCAAAAAGTGTTCATAGAAGTATACTTTGTAGCCGCTATTATTATAGCCATTTATATGATTATATGATAATGATGGTGATTAAATGCAGAGAAGGATGAGGCAACTTGCATTTGACATGTGCTCTCTGCATTTGGGAAATGGCCAGTCTCCCATACCATAGCGACTGTGTGCACCTCCAGTTCTTGAGCTGAAACAAAAATAAAAGAATCCCAAGTAAGATCTTAAAATACCGGTTGAAAAGCTAAAGGATTGCACCTGCTTTAATTTTACTGACCTTCCTAAAAGATATTCTCCAAGAGGTAGCGTGCCATCAACCCATTCAAGAACACCAGCACTTGGAGTGAATGGAACAACCTAGTCCATTATAACAAATGCATTTAGAGTGTAAGATTCAGAACTCCATGTACTTAAATGAAGAACTAATTGATACACCATGAAATAATTACAGCCAAAAAATTAAAAGATACTCTATTGTGGATCAAATCATTGAAGACTGATCAACTCTCTACCTTTATCTATGCAACTTCCGTATTTTTTGAGGAAATTATCTACTTATAATTCAAAGAGTATTCTAACCAGCCAAAGAACACCTTACAAATTTTATACAAATTAATGATGAACAGTCTCCCTTTCTAAGACACAATATGGAGGCCAAATAAACTCATGCAGATGCAATAGTTAACAGACAATCCAGAAATAGCAAAACATAACTCATCCGAAATATGAAGTCAATAAAGTAAGACAAACAGTTAACGACAATTCATGAAGTCATTTCCAGAAACAATTGTACCCATCACTTAGCACAGATGCTGAAATGAGGAACTCGAGGTAAAAGATAATAATTAAATAAAGACAATGACATGACAAGCACACATTCCTTCTTAAAATGTTAAAGCCCAAAACACTTCTTAAGAATGCTATTTCCATCAGGGCCTAATATTTTGGTAGCTAAACTAGCTGTTCCCAATTGAATCTGCAAGAAAGGGATTTGTTACCTTAGAATAAGGTTAGAAAGAATAAGCTACCTTATATGTGCGTATGGCCAATCTTCTTTTCCATGTATCCCGGTGATTATGCAAGAAAGTATTGACTAGCCCAAAAAATTGTTCCATAACCTGAAAATTATTCACCAGATTTACTGTCAATTTAACTGAAGCAGAACATGTTGTTCCCTACTCAAATTTTATTCATAAAAGACCTCCTATGAGATAAATAAACTACATGAAATGTCTAATGTCTATCAAAACATTGAATGGGGACTCCAAAAGTTTGCAGGCATTCTAAGTGTAAACAGACTAAAATCAGGAGGAATATATAAGGAACTTAGCTAATTGTATCCTACATATCTGTTTCCACATAAGATATTAGCAAAATTGTTCTTTGTAAAGTTAGAGTAGAAGGTTGGGAAATTGAATTTCAAGTATGACCATCTGGTTCTTGTGTTTTGTGATATATATATATATATATA